CATTTTCTGAAGAAGGGTCTAGGCCCGAAACGTCAGCCTTCCTGCTCCTCTGATGCTGCTTGGCCTGCTGTGTTCATCCAGCTCTACACCTTGTTATCTCAGATTCTCCAGCATCTGCAGTTCCTACTATCTCTGAAACATACTCTTCAATATTTTGTTACATTGTCTTGAAGTCTACTCCTCACCAAAGGAAGCAAGGCAAATTCCTTGATAGCTGAATTGCGTTATTTCTATCTGGTCCTACTCGAGAACTGCTAGTTCTGATCAAAAGATCAAATTAGAACTCTACACCAAGTCTCCATTGGTTAGTGAGGACAATTTGTTAGTTATCTGTATAGAGATTGAACACTCCAGTAATGAGGCATTGGTTGAGTTCTTGCACTATACATATTGTTTATGTTTCCTCGTTGTTTTGTTTTCAGGAACTGCCCAGACTCAAAACGTACATTTACCAAAAGGTTTATGCTGGAGAAACACATTCGACTCATGCATGGTATTAAAAATCCTGATATGACACAGATGACGGAGCCGACGACCATAATGGAATCCCTAAAGAAAGAAGAGAACAAGGTGCGTAATAATGTATTGGGACTCATAATTTGCTTATGGTAACTTTATGTGCAGTGTTTTCAATGTATCCTTGCCTGTAACAGTCACTAAAAAGTCATGAACCCTGAAACTGTGAGATTATGTTATGAATTTTGATTTGTCTGGTCTCCAATTCTGGCTTCTTACTTGAAGTTCCATAATTTTGAGGCAAAAAAACTTTGGAAATACAGGCTTCAATCTTCAGGAACAATTTCCCTCCTGTTTGTCATATGTCATTCAGATTCCTGCAACAAAAGTAAAATTCTGTGGTTGGCATCGGACATCTGAAATTTTAACAAAATGCCTCAAGTACTCAGCAAATAAGGCAGCATCTGTGGAGAGGAACAGTGAACACAAGCTGATGGTGGAGGGACAGGTGGCAATTAATTGTGCACTCAATTGGCATAGTTGGCGACCTGATGAGCAGCTTACCATTGAGATACCCACTATGTAATATGCCTGGGCAGACTCCCTTCCTGGCACCTTCTGTCACCATATTACCAGACCTTGAACCTCCTAGTTCAGAGCTAATAATATTCTGGCCCTAGCTTTCAGACGTTAGGACTTTGGTGCATAGGACTGAGCCTGTGTTTGCAAGGGCACTGCAGGATATTTCAGTACTTGCAGGTTGTGGAACAACAGTTGAAGGCAGCTTGAAGGAACATGGACTTCAGTCCTTAACAGATGAAACCAATTTTCAGGTTTAGCTGCAGGATTAAAGAGCCATTAATTGATGTTACAAAACTGCCTGGAAGGTCATTATTTCGCCCACTGATTCCTGACAAGTCTGGGACATTCTGTTGGGAGTGACAATGAATGGCTGTCTATGGCCTGCACAAGTTTCAGCCACCATAGTATTACTGGATGTTTATATCTATGGCTTAGGCAAAGAGGAAAGCCTTTAGAAATTTGCAATTCCTGTACTCCATCTAAAAGCAAAATTGATTGCAGAGAGATTGGTTTACTTCTATACTCCATGATTTATTAAAACTGTATAGTCAAATGTTACACTGTCGAACTGATTCTGCTCTGCTAGCACAGATACTGAAGCCTGCAGCAACTCCTTGTACCATGCTCTACAAGAAAGGAAGGAGAGAGAAACTACCATGAAATATAGGCCAGTTCGTGTAACATCAGTTGGTGTGAAAATGCTAGAATCTATCATTAAGGAAGCTTTAACAGTGCCTTAGAAAAACATAGTACAGTCTGGTTAGAACAAGACAGAAGTGTTGAATAGTGGAGCAGGTTTGACTGGCCACATGAGCTATTTCTGCTTCTATTTCTTGTACTCTTTGCCTTACTCTCACATTGTCTAACTTGCACTTCTCAAGACAATCTTAAGAAATTCCCAGAGGTCAATCATGCAATAAACAGGTGGTCAAAAGAACAACTCTGTACCATATGCATGGACACATTCTCATCAAAGAGAGAAATGTCATCTAGCCTGCCGTGTAATACACTGAAGAATAAGGAAAGCGATGGCCTAGTGGTATTGTCATTGACTATTAATACAGCAACTCAGCTAATGTTCTGGGGACCTGGGTTTGAATCCAATAATTAAAACAAAATTAAGAATGTACTAATGACCAGGAATCCATCACTGATTGTTGGAAAACCCATCTGGCTCACATTTCCTCAGAAGGAAATCTTCCATCCTCACCTGGTCTGGTCTACATGTAATTCCAGACCCAGAGCAATGTGATTGACTCTCAACTGCCCGCTGAAAAGGCCTAGCAAGCCACTCAGTTCAAGTATAGTTAAGGACAGGCAATAAATGCCGACCAGCCAGTGACACTCATGCTCCATGAGTGAATAAAAAAAACTTGATACAAACACTGGGTGAATGGAGTTAACAAGTATTCCATTTTCCAGCAACTGAGTGTAATGCGGTATTCCTCCTTTCAATGGAAAAACTCTGAAAAAAATTAAGAGGCAGCAAAAATGTGTGCGAGTTGCAAACATTGCATACATGTTATGCAATTCTCAGACCATCATTTACATAAGTAATAGCATGGACTGCTTTCAAATTCAGTTCAGGGAGTAGTTAGTTGTCACTAGAAGTATGTTGTCATATTTAATGTTAATCAAATCCCCCAGTTGAGAAATACTCTTCATATAATCACAGAATTGTTACATATCAAAAGGAAGCTGTTTACTGCATCTTGTCTGTGTCAAGTCTCTGAGTGATTGATTCAACTTGTGCCATTCCCCTGCCTTCTCTTTAACTCTGCTCATTATTCCTTTCCAAATAATAATCCAATTTCCTCTTAAATTTATTCATAATTGAACCTGCCTCCATCACACAGTCAGGAAGCGCATTCCAGATATTAACCATTCACTGTTTGTTTGAAAACATTTACTTTCAAGTTCCATTCCTTCTTTTTGCCAATTACTTTAAATTTGTGTCCTATTGTTCTCCATCCTTCCAGTAATGGGAACAGTTTCTCCCTATCTGCTTTGTCCAGGCCCTTCATGTTTTTGAATGCATCTATCAAATTTCCTCTCAACCTTCTTTTCTCCAAGGAAAGTGGTCCTACCTTCTCCAATCAATCTGCTAAATTAGGTTACCATCATTGCCCATATCAATGTTTTGAATTTGTATTGTATCAATCATTATCATGAGAGACAGTAAATGCAATTGGGTTCTGACAAGATAATGGTTAGAAATACAATGCCATTGAAATTTCCTTCAGATTCATCGAATGTATTTTACTTGAAGCCTTGTTTCCTGCAGATGCCATTACCACCGAAGCGGAAGTTGGAGGATGCAATAGTGGAGCTTAGACCTCCGCCCAGAGGAGCCATTACGCAGCCTTTGAAGAAGCTGAAAATCAATGTCATCAAACTTAACAAATGTGCTGTATGTGGCTTCACCACAGAGAATGTAACTCAGTTCCAAGAGCACCTACCCCAGCACAAGACTGATGGCTCCACCTTCCAGTGCAGGGAATGTGGCCTCTGTTATACCTCTCTCCAGTCTCTGACCAGACATTTGTTCATTGTCCACAAGATGAAGAATGCCCAGCAAGTTGCCAGGCAGAATGGGGCCAGGGAGGAGAACGCAGCAGACAGCAAAATGAGCCTGGAGGATAATCAGGCTGAGTTGATGCTCACGGACAAAAAGTGTAAAGTTTGCTTCAAAACATTTGAAACTGAAGCAGCCTTGAACACACACATGCGGACTCATGGCATGGCTTTCATAAAATCCAAACGCCTGTGCACATCAGAGAAATGAGGAGCAACTCTCTTGAAATGACAGTTAGTTAACAAACAGTAGAGGTGACTTCATGCAGAAGGGACTGTTTTGATTGGGACAAACTCCCCCTTGTTGCAGCTTTTATTGGAATGTCATACAAACCCCTGTAACACCTCACTTGTACAGACTGTATATGTTGTCCAACATCACTTCGAAGCTCTAATTTGATTAAACGAAAAACTCAACACCTTTGAAGGAGCATACATTTTTTTGTACAGTTATGATACATAATTACTTCATTTTTATGCTGCATAACATAGAGTTCTGTCATCACAAACCTTGCTCATTTTTGGTCACCATGTATTGAATTTGTCTTCAGCATTGCAAAATTAATGATATTCATTGCATTTATTTAAAGAAAAACAAAGGGGAATTGAATTTCAATTAACCAGATTTTGTTAAAATGTTGTTTACTTATCTTAAGCTGCTTGATCTGAATATTGTCTTTTTAAATTAGAAGTTTGTTTTTGATGGACCAAATTAAACAGGGATGTATTGTATCATCACTGTACTTTGATAAATTGATTTGTTGTTCAAATATACAGTTCGTTGAAGGAAAACAAAAGGCTTCAGGAAAATAACCCAAGGAGGAATGTTTGTGTTGGTGTCCAAGTCTGAAAGCCATGAATGTTTGTGGGCAACTTGATATTTATTTTTTAAAATGCTGACGAGTGTTAGTTTTCTTGCAGTTAACGATGAAGGTCTTTTGAGAGTAATTAGCAATGTGGTTAGTAAGTGTGTATGCTTGTGTGTATTCACACGAGTGCGTGCTCATGTGCCTGTCCATGTGTGATTGTTCATGTGCATATTTGTGTGTGCGTGTTTGTGCACCAATGACTAGGTGCCTGTCATGCAGAAATTGGGCAGTTGTGAACTGGACTGCCACACTGGTTCAGATTCTACTTATTAAAAGTAATAACATTTGAGTGCAGTCATACAAATTTTGCAGAGCAGCTTTATGCTTCCTGACAAATTGGCCTAAGGTCATTGGTTATCCCTGGTGGCCTGTAATTTTATTTCATACCAGCTCACTCATCTTATCAAGTCAAGGATGGGTTTACACAGGCATTATAAACTAAACAGGTACAGCACCGATCACCTTGGCTTCAGCCATTCAGAAGAAAATTTTATCTTGGAATTCTGATACCATGGATACATTGCAACTGTCAAGCATGCCCAAACAATAATCCATAGGCAACATCAAACTGGAGGCTTTAAAAATCTGTTTGTCACTGCTTGATTGTCAGAGAATTCTATGGAGGAGCCTGAACATCACCGTACCAGACTGTACTGCCAGTCCAATGGTGAGAAAACAGACACTAAAGAAAATATTGATTAATTATTTTGTATGTGGCTTGCAAAATTCCATATGAAGCACCCAGATGCCCCTTAAATGCAAATATAATCTTAGACACATTTGGTTTAGGCTACTGTAACGTACTAACTTGCTTTAGTGTCTCCTTCGGTATTATGGTGTCACCCAGTGGCGAAAGTTCAGAAATACAGCTAGTAATATTCAAATTGACGAAGAAATTAAGCAATAATGAAAGTTTCTAAAAATTGCACAACTAAAAGCTAAGAAAAACAGAGAAAATTGGCTGACCAATAATACTGAAGTTAAGACTGGTGTTTTTCAGTGTACACTTGAATCTTGCAAGAGTAAGCTTTAATAGCTGGTGAAAATACTTCTGCTATCTTCAATTGGTAAACTTTAACATTTTACGTGGCATAGTGAAGTTGCTATTTTGTTTAAAAGAAGTTCTACTTTAAGAATCAAACAGGACAGACAACAGGAAACCAAACGAGACTGATGATCATTTTTTCTTTAATATTAATGATTTTGATTTATTTTGCACAGTTTAGCATTTTCCTGTAATTATAGAAAAATATTTTGATAGTATCTTCTGATTTAACTAGCTTTTTATGAAGTCTGACGAGATTGTTTTCCTGCAGTAAACACTTTTTAATTTAATTACTACAGGATGATATAACTGTTCCCAATTCTAAGTGAGTTTGGTGGTCATCTCTAGTCCTATGATAGTAATATGGTTCTACCCTTTGTCTGGTAAAGAGCTTCTTTTTCTCTCCAAGATTTTCTGAGATTATTGTGAACTATCTGTTCTGTGAGGGTATAGTAGAGAAAGACAGTAACGATTTCATGCTACACCATAACTGTCTGTAGAAGAGCCAGGAAATGTTTAAAGAGTACTGTTGTATTGCCAAATTGCCTTATAGAATGCAATTACGTGTTTTTAAATGAAAGAGAATACACTGATATGCATCATGCTGGGCACAAATACTGTTTTTCTCCTGGGTTTGATAGGGTATTAGAAGGACTGGGGTATAGTGTGTGCGTAAATTGTCTTTTCACCTCTGGTGAATCTGGGTTCGGAGCCTAAATTGATGGATTATCAGTTTTCTTTATCACCATCAACAGTCCAATGTGAAATAATTTCAATCTAGTGGTCTCTTATGTGGCACTTACAGGCATTAAATTAGCAGTTTTAGTCAGAAGTCTGGGATTACTAATTATCACAAAATGGTGATACATGGAAACAGCACATTGATATAATAGGAGAGACTTCTCAAAGCTGGGATAATAGCACACAGTTGTCGAAAATAAAGGAAGCTTCACTGAGTTTAAAACAAAACCAAATAAGTATTGGCAAAAACTAAAGTAATAATAGAGATTGTGACGTAATAGATTGAACCATCCAGAAGAAAAATTAAATTTGATAAATTCAATATTTTTAAATATAAGATCTAGAGGTTCCTCATCTGCAGTGCAAACTTCTCCAAACAGAATTAGCACACCAAGATTGTCAAAGCAGTTTAGTCAGGAAAGCATTGACCATGTCCTTTTCATTCCTTGTGTTGCTCAACATTCCAATTTACCTGAATTTTTAATGTTTTTTTTAAAAAGCTGCAGCTGCCAGACTCCTTGTTATTTGGTTATCCTGTACATTTGGTTATTCTGGGTCTCTGTAGTTTAACTTTCATTTTGTCATGATAACTTGTAAAAATACTGAACCCTTTCTTTTAGAACTAAAAGTAAACCAGATCTGCTGGTACACAGACATTATAAACGGAGTGCTGCAAAGACAATTTTCAGAATGGATCGCATGAAACCTGTTTAGAAAAAAAAAAATCAAGAATAATTATTAAATTGGATTTTATCATGTTGGATTTGGTGTACAATAGGTGAATGTTATATTTTTGTATTTTGATTGTTATAAATTGTAGAATTCAAATGTTTTACTACAATATACAGATATCCATCCTGGAATGTATTCCCCAATGTATTTTTTTTTAAATAAAGAAGTACTGTGCCAGGGAATTGATTATGTGCAGGATTGATTATTCTACCTTATCATTCCCAGTACAGCACGGATAAAAGTCCAATCTCCATTATTTGTTGTTACTGTTGATTGTTCTTCCAGATCTTTTTCAGCTTTAGTGAACAGATGACTGCTCTGGGCCTCACATAATAGCAATGAGCTCTACTTTGCAATTGACGTGAATTTTGTTTTAATTGACCAATTCCTTAATTGGGCCCTTCAATTGTACTTGATTATCCTTAAGAGAGTTGTATTTTTAAATACAGTGACTCAGCCAAACGGGAGGGTCATTTCCATTAAATGTTTGTAGCTAATGTGGCAAGAAACTCAAGCAGGCCAGAGTGACAATAGACAATGCCATGGCATCAGTTATATTATCACTGGGTTCTCTGAGGAGTTTAAATCTGGATAGATTCAGCATTTTATCAGCAGGTAACATAAATGACATTTTCAACAAGGCTGCAATGAGCAGAAAGTATTACACAGGATAAAAAGCACTCTTCTGTTTCACAATTGTAAATTGCTCCTCATTCAAGTTTAAGCTTCTCATCATCATTTTTTTTGAGGCTTTTATATCTTGTCTGTTTAGTCCAATAAAAATTTTGTACTTTTTAAATTTTTTTTGTTGATGTAGACTTTAATGGCATGAAAAAAATGTAGCCATTGTCTTGTTATGTTCCTAGGGCATGTCTTGCTGCTGTCATTGATAGTAAAATTTGTCAGTTGTAATCTTACCAGAGTTTAAACATTTAATAAATGTTTAAAGTATTTAAAGAGATGATGTGTGAAAAAGGTTTTTGTTCTCTTGCAGTGGTGAAATTTTGTGACTTGAATTTTTGTTTAAATCGATTAAGCTTTACAGCATTGTGAGGGACACTGGATTTAATTTTAATAACAAAAGCATAGTTATCATCTTTCTTGTTCCTTCATAATTGTGGTGATGACACCCATTCCATGAATGCAGCCAGTGGAAGTAACACAAAACTAATGAGATGCAAGTGGCAAGTTGACAATTTGATAAAATTGGAAGTTTGGTGCAGTGGGGTGGTCAAATGCTTTTTGCCTCTTATCCCAGTCAGGTTCATTAAAGCTTAAGGCAGAAGTTGCTTAAAAGTTTTATCTGATATTTTTGCTGCTTAGAACTAACCTATTATATAAAAATAGAAAAGAAAATTTACAGCAAAGTAAAAAGCAGATGTAAATAATCAAGTTAGAAATGGAATGATCAAATGGTTACAGCACAGAAGGCCATGTGATCTGGTGAGTCTATGCAAAAGATATTTTGTGAATCTAGGTTCTAAACTCTTTCCCAAGAGCTGCTTACTCAATTCCATTTTGAAATACTCATCTCAATTTCAGGTAGTGTATTTCAGGTAGTGTATTCCAGGTCACAAACACTTGTTGTATAAAAAAATAAGTTTCTCAATGCGCAAATGGTACCCCCAAAGATAGTAGCCCCCAGGGGGCATAGGAGCAGAAGTAGACCATTCACTATTCTCTGCAAGTAGACATTCTTACTAATCTTTATCTTAACTGGTAGATCCTCTATTCTTAGATTATACCCTCTGGTATTCTCCCACAAGGGGAAACAATCTCTCTGTAGCATCTACCCTGTCAAGACTCCTAAGAATCTTGTGTGTTTTAATAAGGTTGTCTCACATTCTTCTACACTGTAATGAGTATAGGCCCAATCTACTCATCTCTCTTCATAAAACAGTCCCTCCATACCTGGTATCAGCCTGGTGAACTTTCTCTGGACTGCCTCCAATGCTGGTATATCTTTACTTGGATAAAAGGCCTGAAACTGTTTAATGCCCTCCCATCTTCCTGCTATGTCATATAATTCTTTAAGAAAGGTGCATTCTGGCGTGGACAGCATAGATATTTTCTCATCAACACGTTCAGAGAATTATCAAGGATAATTGACCTTTAACGATCTCAGAATATTCTTAATTATTTAATTACTTATAGTGAGTGGATTGCCAATTTGGACTATTATATGTAAATAGATAATTACGGATCGATAGAAATTATTAAAAAAGGTCTCACTTCATATGATGGGGAAGAATTCAGGTGTCGGAGGTGGGGAGTATAGTCGGCTAGCCTCACACCGTATTTTACATGCCCACCCACAGAAAGCACTCTTGGTGAAGATGTGTAATATCCAACCCATGATGAATGCACGTGCCTCTGTTCTTGTACTCCCTTCAGCTGGAATAGGAGAAAGGGTGGAAGTGTTGCCCTGAGCCAGTTGAGACTTTGCTGTGAGTAAAATGGATGCAAGGCAACTTTGAGATAGTAAGAACTGCAGATGTTGGAGTCAGAGATAACACAGTGTGGAGCTGGAGGAACACAGTAGGCCAGGCAGCATCAGAGGAGCAGGAAAGTTGATGTTTCGGGTCCGGACCCTTCTTCAGAAATGGAAGAAGGGTCCCAACTCAAAACGTCAACTTTCCTGCTCCTCTGATGCTGCCTGTGATGCTCCAGCTCCACCCTGTGTTATCTCTTAACTTGCTTTTTTGAGGGCGGAGTCCTCACTGCTGTTTCAACCAGCAGAGGGTGGGGAGGGTGAAAAACACTGTAGCACATAAAATCCCAAAGTCTCAGTTAGTGTGCATCCACTGTGCATGAAACCTTTTTTCAAATCTCTTCAGCACAATTAAAAACTTAATAAACCTAAAATGTGAAATACAACCTTGCAAATTGCCAGAATCTTCATCTTGCATGAATAAAGAAATCGCGAACTCAAAGCGTGGCTTTTACAGCCTGATGTCAAATAGATATAAAGTAAACCCTATAATTGTTTATTGTGACTGTGCAGCATGAAACAGCTTAAATTTTCTTTCCAGAGATGACTAGATTAGGGAAACATAATTTGAACGCGCTGTCTGAATATTACCCTCTTAAATACAAATTGAAGTGTAAATGGCATTTAAAGATTACAAAAGGTTAGGTCAGTAGTGACAGACTGTTGGCAAGACAGCAACAAGGGGTTTCAAATTGGATCTCAAACCTTCCCTTCATCATAAGGTCAGAAATGGGGATTTTACTGATGAATTCACAATGTGCAGCACCATTCGCGACTCCTCATATACTAAGCAGTCCTTGTCCAAATGCAACAAGACCTGTACACTATCCAGATTTGAGCTGGAAAATAGCAAGTAACCGCACCACACAAGTGCCAGGCAATGACTATGTCCAACAAGAGAAAATCTAACCATCAACCCCTTGCCATTCAATTGCATTGCCATCACTGAATCCCCCACTTTCAATATCTTGAGGGATACCATCAACCAGAAACTGAACTAGGCTAGCCAGCTCAATATTGTGACTGCAAGGGCAGGTTGGAAGATAGGAATCCTGCAGTGAGTAATGCACTTCCTGACCCAAAGCCTGCCTACCACCTACAGGACACAAGTCAGGAGTGTGATGGAAAATGCTCCAATTGCATAGCTGAGTACAGCTTCAACAACACTAGAGGAGCTTAGACCATAAGATACAGAAGCAGAAGTGGCCATTCAGCCCATCAAGTCTCCCCTGCCATTCAGTGGGATGATGGCTGATCTGATAACTCTCAACTCTGCTTTCCAGCCTTTTCCCCCAAATCCTTGATTCCCTTACTGATTAAAAATCTGCCTATCTCTGACTAAAATACACTTAATGACTCAGCCTCTACAGGCCTCTGCAAGAAAGAATTCCACAGATTCACTACACTCTAAGAGAAGAAATTACTCCTCAGCTCAATCATAAATGTGTGGCCCCTTACTCCGAAATTATGCCTTCTGGACCCAGACTCTCCCACAAGAGGAAACAAACTGTCCGCATCTATCCTGTGAGGTCCCCAAAGAATCTTGTATGTTTCAATAGGCTTGCCTCTCACTGTCCTAAATTCCAATGCATACAGGCCCAAATTACTGAGCTTCTCCTCATAAGACAGTACCTTCATACTTCAGATCATCTTAATGAAACTTCTCTGGACTGTCTCCAATGCCAGTATATCTTTCCTTAGACAAGGGATCATAACTGTTCGCAGTACTATGGGTGTGGACTAACTAGTGCCTTGGATAGCTTCAGCAAGACCTCCCATTTGTATACTCCATTCCCTTTAACATAAAGGCCAACATTCCATTCCCCTTCCCTAATACGTTGGATGCTAGCTTTTTGTGACTTATGTGCTTCCAGTCCCGCTGTTCTGTAGCTTTCTGCTATCTTTTTCAATTTAAATAATATTCAGCTCCTCTATTCTTCCTGCCAAAGTACATAGCCACACACTTCTCCACATTATATTCCATCAACCAAATCTTTTCCCAGTTGCTTTATCCTGTCGATATCCATCTGCAGACTCTATGTCATCCTCACTATTTGCCTTCCCACCCGTGCTTTGTGTCATCTCCAAACCTGGCTGTAGTACATTCACTTTCCTCATCAAGTCATTAATATATTGTAAATAATTGTGGCCCCAGCATGGATCTTTGTGGCACTCCACTAGTTCCAGGTTGTCATGCTGAAAATAGCCTCCTTATCCCAGCTCTCTGTCTTCTATGAGTTAACCAATCCTCTATCCAGGCCAATATACCACCTTCATCGCCATGGGCTTTTCATATGCTAAATGGTACCTTATGAAACTCTTTCCAAAAATCCAAGTACATCAACAGGATTGACACCAATACTCCCACTTCAGAGAGTTGGTGTGGACTCATTGGGCCACATGGCCTGTTTCCACACTGTAGGAATTTTAAGAAATTGGAGGAAGGTGAGGAGATCTGATTCTATCCAGAGAGTTTGAACTTTATGCTTTGAAAGAAGGTAACTGGGGAAACACGTGAAAGTGTTGTATTAGACGGAAGAGAGAGAATTGATGGAATGAATACAATTTGAGTTTAAACCTCGATAGAAGGACAAGGAACCAAGTGCCTCAAAAGTTAGAATGATTTCAAGAAGTTCTTCTCATGAGTATTAAATGTTGGAAGCTCTGGATTGTTGAACTGAAAGGGGCTAAAGATGATGTCCCTCAGACTTGTATAAACTCTGCTATTAATTAAAATATTGAAACTTACATGCATAATTCATTCTTTAAATATATATTTCTTGTTAATCTGCAATTATTCTCCAAATGAAGACTCAAGGAAGATAGAATATTATTGGCCTTCTGAAATAATTGCATGGTACTTTTACAGTATACTATCCTGGTTGCTAAGACTCCTTGTCCAACACAATTGCCAGCAAGCAGAACGGCGCAGCGGGAGTGTGCTGGGCCCATAACCCAGAGGTCAATGGATCGGAACCATCCTGTGCTATTCATTATAAGTGCATGTCATAACCACAAGGATCTGTTCTGGGTCCTCTTCTATTTGTGATTTTTGTAAATTATTTGGATGAAGGAGTGGAAGGATGGATTAGCAAGTTTGCCGACGATACAAAGGTGGGTCACGTTGTGGACAGTGCAGAGGGCTGTTCTAGGTTACAAAGGGACATTGATAGAATGCAGAGCTGGGCTGAGAAGTGGCAGATGGAGTTTAACCCTGAAAAGTGTAAGGTGATTCATTTTGGAAGGACAAACTTGAAAGCAGAATACAGGGTTAACAGAAAGATTCTTGGCAGTGTGGAGGAGCAGAGGGATCTTGGAGGTCATGTTCACAGTTCCCTGAAAGCTGCCACCCAGGTGGCTAGAGTTGTTAAGAAGGCGTAATGTGTGTTAGCTTTCATTAATAGAGGGATTGAGTTCAAGAGCCGTGAAGTTATGCTCCAGCTATACAAAAGCCTGGTTCGGCCACATCT